TAGGGAATAACATATAGCTGAAAGTCACTCACGCTTCCGAGCGAATAGTCGTTCCATCGTCACCCAAAATTGAGAAACGTGTCGACTGAAGACTGATTTCTGAGGCTGATACAAGCACTGGCAAGAGTGCGCCAAAAATATACGAGAGCCTCATTGGAGTGTAGGTCGAAATACGGTTGCTTTGTTTCCAGGAACGGTGAAGAAAGGCCCAACGTGGCAAGGTTACAACCAAAGGAATGACGCCTTATATTACATGTGAAAAATGGTACAGTTTTATTGCACTATCAGAAGAGATTGGAACCAGCAAGAAGCTTACGAAACCCAAAAGAAATCAAGAGCACCCTGCGTCTTCGTTAGAGCTCTGTTCTGAGAGTGCCTCAATGCCATTTTTATGAAGACTGGGGTCCTCCACGAACTTATAGTCCTCACTCCTGATGTCTAGGATGCCATGCCTTGTGTCCTGATTAGTAGATATAGGTAATCAGCAGCGGAACGCACTCACTTCGATTTTATGTGACTCCGAAGGCTATTGAAGTCCCTCAGGTCTGGATTAGGATTCTTGAGTGTACAGTGAACGCAGTAGAATTGCTTCTTTTTGACTTCTTCTGGATATTTCCCTGAGGCCAAATCTGCATAAGAGAAACGGTATGTACTGATACGTGTAGCCTCTTTAATGTCGGACGACATCCATCCTATGTCTTGGGTCTCATGCCGCTGACTATGTCGAATCTAGAAACGGATGAGTTGAAACTGACCACTCTCAAGGGCACAACTTGTTTACCATATCCGCAAATGTCATGTAACGCATGGCACCAGGACAAGAGTTGCAAATGAATTCGTCGCTCCTTTTCAGCACCCTCCAGCTAGTACGGCTCTCTTCTTCTATCTGTAAGAGGCTCAACATCTTTCGGGCAGCTTCTTGGGCTCTTGTATTCAGGATAAAGTTGTCTGGAAAGGAAACGTATTGAAATTATTCAGAAATATAGACTAATCATCTTACGACTTACTAATGTCCCAAGGCGTTCTGTCTTTGACCGACTTGTGCTTCTCTTTACACTTGTGAGTACAGACCCCCTCAAAGCTCAACACCATCATCCGTTTGAATCTTGGCTCTACGTCGTTGCATTTAGTGCAAGTAAACCAGCTGGTTACTCGGCTCTCGGGATCCAACTTATTCTCGGTTGGTCGCCAAACAAGGGAGCTATCCTTCTTTCCCCTTCCATGTTTGTTTGATGGGTCATAGTAACCTAGTTTTTGGCGGGTTTGTTGGAGTGCTATGTCAAGCCACTGTGCAAGTTCTGTCATAATCAAACCTTGCATCGGTTTAGACGCCAGTTGGGAATTGATGTCGGAGGATGTCAAGCTATTTGTCAGGGCCTTCACTGTGGGTAACGTGCGGAATGTTGAAAAGCTGGGATAAGGTTTTATTTCTTTGATCAGCCGTTCATAGAGTGCCTTGAATGCCTCTATCCGTACTCGCAGTGTCTCGGTCCTCTCTCTTTCTCTTTTCCGGGCACTTATAACACTTGTTTCCAGTAGAATTTGCTCTCTGTTTTCTTTGAGACCTGAGGTAGTATACATGAGAATTTGGAATGGGGGGAGAATACCAATGGTGACCTACAAGGCAATATAATTGAATTTCGCCGTCGCCTAAGAGTACCACGAATTTCACGGTATGTTTTAGAATTTTCAAGGTCTTCATAAGGTATGTTCTGTTTCCGGCACCATGATTTTACCCTGTAATTTTGGTCAGCCGAGAAGAGTTCCGGAAGATATCCTAAACATACTGCTCTATAAAGGCGGTTTCTTGGTAAGATAAATGCTCCTCATATGCAGATAGCCAGCTCCATAGAGTACTGGCTTCCTGTTGACAATGTGAGGAATTTTATAGTATATGCCAACAGGTTTTCTCGTACTACCTCTATTATATACCAATTATAAGCCGATTTCCGCAATTTCTATATATGAGTTTATGAGTACTCCTGTTTATACCGTGAAAAGCAACAGACCTCAAGACGTGGTTCAATGTTGACGGGTTTTTCTGAATTGACAATGGATACGATACGGGAAATTATGTAATCCCAGTCCTTTTTTCTATATACCCTTGGTACAAAATCGGAGAGAAGATCTGCTGACGGGGTGTCAGCGCAGTCCTTCGATATAAGGGAAGGACTTACATATCAAGTTCTTGCCGTACTCCAGGCTTGGTAAAGAATCGCAAATCCATCTACGAGGGTCCGGCACATTGCAATTACTTCGCAGCTTACTAGCGATTTCGGGTGGTACTGGCTCTTCTTTATTGAGGAAAAAACTGAGGAGATCATTCAGCAATCGCGATGATAAACCGGTAACCAGGCTTGCCTACTATCGAACATCTTCATTCCTCTAACTTCCAGACACATCTATGTATCTATGAATATGTCGCTGGTGATTAAACACGATCGTAACTCACTTTACACATATGGGCACGAAGTCTCAAACTCCAAGGCAAATCAAACGTTCTCTTCTGACAACGAGCACAGTTGTTGGGTCCAAATATGAATGCCACCCAGCCATATTCCGTAAATAATTTTGGTGGGTCTGGGATAGACGCTGGTTGAAAGGCCTTTCGTGCTGCCTTCCATACGAAGAGCGCGTGTTGGCTGGTAAGACTTTGGAAAAATCGCTTGGAGGACCGCGTGAGGCTCAATATATCCGCAGGGTGATCCAATAAGGACGCCACCGCCGTTACGAGTTCGAATGGAAGTTTGTTTATAGGACATGATGTTTCACTGGAGCTAGACAATTCCATCTTATGACCAGTCGAAGTTGTGTATTATCGAAAGCCGGCCCAATTCTGCGTCTATACTTTTTTGGGAAAAGTCGGGAGAGGTGCTAGGGAAGGCAAGCTTAAGCTCACTGCCGAGTTTGAATAGGTGGCCTCATCCCTTGGACCCATTCCTCATCCGCACTACCTCCGCTGAAGACACTCGAAAGCTCATCAAATACCTATAATTCCTCTTTCCTGATGAATTTAATCCCAAAAATTTACCATGAAATTCGCTAGGTGAGCATGGTTGCTATTTCTACGCCTCCACCATCAAATGTTGGATGTACTCTACAGTCACACGACCAGTTATTATTTATCATTTGGTGCTGAATATGTTTATAACTGACCTTTTCGTGTTCCTAATGCTAGATACCTTGAAGAGACACAGGTAAAACGACCATCTACCTTCTCCGGAGCTTGCTGTGTTTTTACGCCTATCTACAGGTTCCAGAGTGGAAAAAGGCATATATGTAAGTAATTGTTGAGTTAATGCCATGAAAATACGTCTAATATACTCTCAGCGATTACCGAGGCCTGAAGAAACGGATAAGTGCTATCAAGGCGGAGCGTGATGCCAAAAAGACAACTCCAAAATTCTACGATAGCGTTAGAAGGACGCCAAAGGGTAAGCAACGGGCGGATTCTACGTCTATAGCAAGCCCTATCGCCAACTCTACCGGTATTCGGCAACGAAACGAGGCAGTCAATATCGAGTCTAATAGGGCAGGAAAGAGTAATAGTCTCCAAGAATCAGGAGGCTTGAGTAATAAGAATACATCGGGTAGGATTGGAGCCTCCGTCGAAGGTGTCTATGGTACCTTCGGGCATACACCGTCGATCAATGAGCAACTCAATCTGCAAGATGGCCCTCCTGATCTTACTTTACCTCCACCAATAAAATCCATCAGTGATGCTCATATTAATGAAGTCTTGCAAGGCGGCTCCTCTCGCAATCGACCAAGGGCGATGACTGTCGATACTCTTAATGTGCGTAAAGGTGACACGTTCGTGCCTGCAATTCATTCGGCTAATTATCACGTCTGAATCCAGCCAGGACATTCAGCGGTTTCCCCTACATTTGACGGCCGGTCATCCCTACAACCAGGAAGTTCTCCAAAAACACCCCGCCGCCCTAGGCTCTTGGCGTCTTTGACGGGTCTTAGACAACGAGCCAACTCAACAAGCACCTCCAGTGAGCTTGATACATTTCCAGCACCTGATCACACATTTACTAATCACCTCTTCACTATAAGCCCACCATATGACGTCTCTATCAGAAGCACTTGCTACTATGACACCATTAGAATGCCAATTCTTCGAAGGACTGGATAAAGAGTTACGAAAAGTTGTCGACTTTTATCGAGAGAGGGAAAAAGAGGCTCTCATCCGGGTTTCTGTCATCAAGGAACAGCTTAACGATTTGAGGGACCACCGCAAGATTTTCCATGTAAGTTTTCTGATTGTTCTTCCGGCCGAACTAGTTATGTGAACCAAGCCTACAGGATCATGAAGAACAACAAGTGATGCCTATCCTTCCTAAAATGATTGGTAAACTCGCTATCCATTTATCTCCTCCAATGCCATGGAAACAACCTATTGCCGTCAATAATGAAGAGAACCTTGCTCCATCAACCAGTAAAGGCAATGGCGAGCGCTCATCATCCCAACCTCCTAGATATGATCCTGAAGACTATCAAGAAGCAAAGAAGAAGTTGAAAAAGGCGGTACTGGAGTTCTATAGGCAAGATCATCCTCGCTATTTGCATATCAATACTAACAATATGGTCTATAGAGGCATTGAATACCTTCACAACTATCGGGTATGGCGCGTCTCTTGCTCTCTGTCCATACTTTAATAGACTTTAGATCCTGAATTTGACTGGCTTTCGCAAAGCACTAAAGAAATTTGATAAGGTCGCTCAGGTATGCATTTTGTCCGTTTCCTATATGATTCTATTCTCATTTATCGATCCAGGCCCAGACGTCCCAACTGTATCACAATGAAAAGGTCGGTCAGATGCCACCGTTGATGTTTAATATTGATTACATTATCTAGATTGAACCGTCAATCCTGTCAAATCCGACTACTATAGATAGGATGCTAGAGGAGATTGAGAATATATATGCAGCGAGATTCGGTTAGTCATTTAGGTTGTTAATCCAATCTAATATCAAGCTAAGGCGAAACAAAAGAGGGTGGAGATCGCAAGAAGGCCCGTACACGGCTTAAGGCCACTTTCAGAGAACATAGTCACCATTATAGCACCTTTAGAACGGGAATTTTTATCGGCTTGTCCATTCCAGCCCTCATTTCAGGAATATACGAGTGTAGGTTAAAGATTCTCTCAAAAGTAGTTATCTTACAAACCCATGTAGCCTTTCAACCCCCCGTGCGCGCAAGAGTTCCAGAGTGGTCATCTTTACTACAAATATACCTTGCATTCTTCATTCCGGTCGTCTTTGGGTTGCTTGCGTCCTTGAATATCATAGTCTGGGCTCACGTTCGCATTAATTATATCTTCATTTTTGGTATGTGAATTACCATTTAGATGGCCAAGCTCATCCAAGCTCCAGAGTTGGATGTTCGTACCGTCGTCGATAGCCGAGAGTATGCAGAGGCAAGGGCTCCATATTTGTTGTGTCGTGGTTGATCGCTTATCACGTCATGGTATAGCTCCCAGCTTTCCTCCTTATGACCCTTGTATATGCTTTCTGGTTGTCCTTTTCCGGATTAAAACTTGCCGTTTCGTCAACTGTCTGGCCATTGGCTTGGCTGATCTTGGCTGTCGTCATTCTTGTCAACCCATTTCCTCTTTTGTATCCACATTCGAGATCATGGCTCCTTCGAAAGTCGGCTGGGCTACTACTGAGTGGTACCCGGAGAGT